ACACATTAACAGTGTAATTCTAACATTAGTCCAAAATGTCTGCGTGCATATAGACAGAACTAACCACTACAGACTGGAAGGGACAGACTCTAGTAAAGCACTTTGAAAGTGCACGCCACTGTCCACACACGATATGATAGCATGCTATAGATGAAAGATCTCTGGCCAAGACACGCGACTATAAATACAGTGAGGCTGGGGGAGGAATGCACCCACTGTCTGTGTCTGTGCATGAATGAAACACAGAAGATGGACTGTGGACATGTGTGGGTCAGCTGGAGACATATGCTAGGCCTACAGTGTTTGTGCATGTCTGTTCTGAGGATATAAGTAGCAGGTACTGGTTGGCACAAAAACTTAGAACTACAAGGCTCACCAGCTCCGTTTAAACTTCACTGCAGATTGACCTACTTTCAACATTAAAATGGGGGTCTCCATAGTCACTAGAAGTTATTTTTAGAAGAAACTGAAGTCTATACACTCCAATGTGAGTTTGTATATGTGAAATTAAGTTGTAAGTATTTTAAGTTTAAGTGTGCTATAGCTATAGCAAACATGAATATTTATCATCATCATCAATAATTGCGGCAATAGTAAAGCGCAAATTTTATATGTACCGGTACTCATGAAGCTAATAATTTTGGTGTGGTGACAATGGCCATTTAACGCAGGTTATAAAATGTTTTTAACCAGCATTGTCCAAAAGCAGGATTCCAGCAGCAGAAATCCAAACAAGTCAAATTAGACTTTACTTAAACCTATGACTCCTCAGTGCCAGGTGTCATTCAGGCAGTATGACCTTTGACCCGGCCACACGTCCCTCTCCACAAAAGCATTACAAGGACAACATGGTGCACACATATTAAACAAAATACATCCACCAAAATATATATAACTATTTTTGACCTGAGTGGTTAGCAGCAGCTGTATACAAACAGTAAACATTGCCCCTCTCATGATACTGGTGTAACAGAGGGGGGCCCCTGTTGCCCTAAACTGGTAATTTGATCCAACTTCGAACTGAGGTCAGAAAAGGAATTCAGACCCACAAAAGCTGGGGACATACCAGGGTGACCATGAGAAATAGGAATCTTTCAAGGAAGGGGCTAGCTCCCATCGTGTCAGTAGTTATCCTAAAAGGTGTTCAACTGAGAACAAGTCTGACTGCTAAGTGCTTACTAGACAGAACATAGCCATACAAATACAAATAATTAAGTGTAAAGTATAGTTTAATTCATACTTATACCATGCTTAGTCCTAGTTTAGTTCTGATTTAGGTCTGGTTTAGTTGCAGTTTTACTTCATGGAGGCCTTAAAGCAACACATTTTCATAGGCATAAGGTATATTTTTGAGTCATTGTAAATCATATATTTTGCTCCTGTAAAATGCAAAATGCTGTATTATGCCAATACCAAGTGGTTGTGTCATGTCAGAACTGTCACAGATTGTAGTTTACATGTGCACTTAATACCTTGTTGTGGGCTTCTGTGCACCTAATAGCTGGCCTTGGGGTGCCGTGGGAGCTGCCAACTGCAAATCTCATAACAAAATGCATTCCAGTCCAACTCGCTCACACCTTGTCTCCTTCAACAAGCCTGCATTCACAGCATGACAAACCCAATGACTGTACTACATGAGGAACTCCCAACTCCTCCCATTAACATGAAAACAGATGGAAATAGTAAGAGCAGATACATTGGTATTCATACACATAGAGACATCTGTAGTGCCACTTCTAAACAAAGCCTGAATGTGTTGTTAATTAAGTATGTTTGTGGAAAGTCTGTGGAAAGTTTTGTTATATTATTTTACAGCTGATTTTAAGTGAGTCAGATCAAGTTGAGTAGACTTAACAACAAGCAAACTCATGATGAGTCATAACTGAAGTAATCCAGTGTTCAGACAGTGTGTTGTGAGATATGGGCACGTCATGTGAAAACCTATAGGAACATGCGTAACAGTCAAATTCAATTATCAAAGAGACTAACAAGTCAAATGTAATCAATACCACTGCTTACTGATATGTCCTTACACGCCCTGATTAGTTGAAACCAGAGAGATAATTAGAACTGCAATAGGCAAATTAAGTTAACTTGTCCCTCAGAAACCTTTTTACTAATGTGGAATCAGAAATTAATCAGGTAAATATGAAACTGTAATTATTGATAAACAAGAGTTTAAAAAAAACTAAGGACTACAATGTATGCATGCAAATCAGGATTAATCAGGGTTTACTAAATGTTATCAAGTCATTAACAGGTTTTCAAACTGGCAAATCACCAAAAGTACCTGCACTTGTTACAGCATACAGTTAACACTATCAGCAAATCTTAATACATGGCACACTGGGACTGGGTTAATGAGTAACAGGTAGGAAAGCCAAACAAATACAAAACAGTATTCATTAATTTCTAGAGCTGGTTGTTGCTTGTAAATTTTAAAAAGACAGGTGAAAAAAGGAGGCTATCTATAACAGTTCGGCCTGATCTTTATGGCTCTTTGGAATCCTCTTTGCAGATGGTCAGAGCTATGAGAGGGAATCCATCATTTCTGACAGGATTGCAGTTGATATTAACAATGGGATAGACATGTGTTGAGGAGGGTCACTACTCCGCCTCCAACTAATATCAACATATGTTAGTCACCTTGAATTTCTCTTGGCACTTATCATTAAATACACAAATGTAAAGTAAAAACTAGGTTAGATTTGTAATATAAAGTTGTGATTTGACAAGTTCATGATTATTACCAAAGAATATTACAGTGAATAGTTGAACGTTAAACACGTGTAAGCCTGTTCCTTCAGTATATTCCTTTTAGTAAGTCCAGTTGCTTTGATTAACTTGTTAATAAAAACTTATTCCTGGACATTTCAAAGTTTGCTTCAATCTATTCCTTCAATTAAAAGTACACAGAACAGGAATCAAACCAAAGATTATCTAGTAGAGAGATGCTCAAGCTCAATCAAAGTTTTAAAAGAATCTTCTACATTTTAAATTATCTGCACAATTCCTCAAAAACACCCCGTGATCCGAAAAGAATTGTTGTGTCCTTGGCCCTAATTATTAAAAAATACTCACCTACCTAAATCTTTTGTACAGCTGCTTACTTGCATTCTTATTGTAGTGGTCAGTGATATGATTATTATGCATCTATAAACTACACTGCAGACTTACGTATTTTGACCTTCTTTGGGTCAAGGTGGCGCACTGCTCCTTGTAAACCTTGCAGCCGAGCTTGAACCCTGCAGGACCTCCGGAACACCATCCCAGCCTCCATCTCAATGCCCAGAAACACGTCGCTGGCATGCCTTGACAGGTCTGAAAGTTGGTGGATCAAGTTGGTCAAAACGTGACAGCTAACCTCGTCCAAAGATGAGAATAATACGGGCTTCTTCAGTTTGCGTCCACCGGTCTGGTCCCCCGGTTTTACGCAGCCATCCCTACTGGATAACCTCCCAACACGCCGCGGCTCAATGGTCCTTTGGTGAAATGGCATGTTTACAGCATTAAAACTCCTAGTAAAGCGAAAATTAGTCAAGTAATTTCACCGTTTCATATCGAAGCCGTGTGTTGTCCCGTGCATGCTGAATGTCCAAACCCTCCCATCCCGCCATATTTTGGGGGTAATCCAAGCAATCGGAGGACTTTGCGACGCTGTCCACTGGAGACGTACGTTGCCTCCCAAAGAGTATTCAAATCCAAGCAGACGGAGTACAGGCTGGAGTACGGGCTGGAGCATTGGAGAGGGAAAAGCAAAAAACACTACTGAGGGAAAAGTAGTGCTGTACATGTGAAGACCCGGATATCTGTCCAACCACCTGTAGGACTGGAACTGGAGTCAAAATCCAAAGTTTACCTGCGGACTGCTGAAAAACCCGGACTGGATTTCGGATGAATTAATGGATCGTGCAGGGGTTCACTTCGCTAAGAAGGGGTGAACAGGAAGGTAACTCAAATAGTTTACTTCTCCTCTCAGTCATTTTTCAAATGTTACAGCCACTACTAGAATACATGCATAATATATTTTCGTTTTTCATACTCTAGCTAAGCTAGCCTGCGTTTCACACATAATACAACTTGTGCATAGATAGATAAATTGATAGATACGTTATTTATCCCGAAGAAAATTCTTTTTTTTTCGGAATATGATCATCATCATCATAATACAATTTATAGTTAAGCGTTGTATAGCCATATGGCTCCCAGAGTCTGTCCATGGAGCAGGACAGGGACAACAGCCTGTCCCCAAAGGCGCTCTCCTGTCCAGTGATGGTGCTGTGCAGGGGGTGCTGGGTATTATCAAGGATAGACAGGAGCTTGTTTAGGGCCCTCTTCTCAGCCACAGATGTGAGTCAAGCTCTGCACCCACCACAGATCCTGTCTTCCTCACCAGCTTATCCAACCGCACAGCAGCCTTCTTCTTGAAGCTTCCTCCACAGTAGATCACAGCGCTGAAGAGGACACTGGAGATGACTTGCAGAGTAATATTTATAGCTATTAACATTGTGGAACCTTAAGTTGTTGATCTATCCTTTGTGTTTTAATGCTGCTCCTGTGTCCACTAGTCAGTGCACCATTCTCACCATTCACTCAGTTTTGATTTTTAACAGCAATAAGTGCCAAGTTGCCAAAGAATGCATTCCATGTACCTTTAACCAGACATTGCACTGTAGTTGCAATCAAATTTACTAGATGATGAGGCTTTTTTATAGAGCCATATCTTCAGTTGTCTCACAAATGTAACTATATTCTTGCCAACTTGTTCTTTTAGTGAGTTTAAGTAACCAGCAAATATCAATAGTGATTTGGAATCGACACACGTTCTTGGTCTTCTAACATAATTATTAATAAATCATGATTCATAACTTATAGGAAAAAGGAACAAAAGCAGTTGTAGTCTTGTGATTTTTATCTGTACATCGACTGCCTGTTTTCCTTCCAAAACAAGTGAACTGTCTAATTATAAACAAAACACAAGAAATGTTAAATGAGAATGATTCAGTTTCGGAGATGAACATACATTTAATCATGACTTGAAGCTGTCCAAACAAATCAAACATTTCAAAGCAATACAAGATGAGCTTTACTGCCAGCAATGTCAGGAATTAACAGTATTACTTCTGTGGTGCAGCCTTCACTGGGAAAGTTCACCCAATACATAAATCTCATTCATCTTTACACAGTGCATTGATTTGCAAAACCTTTTTCCAAATCTAAAATCTTAACATAAACTCATTCCATATTCTTATTTACATAGAACACTTTAAAAGTGAACAGAACCAAGAACGTAAAAACTAATTTAAACATAAAGGACAACGAAAATCACCTGCCTTCAAACCAGTTTGAAATTTTGCTGCACGAGTTTCAAAAATATGCTGATATTTCTGAAGATCATTCCCAACTTGAGCTGAACAATTTCATTGGTTTAAATAATACAATTGAGTAAATTATATAGATAATAATCAACCACATAACCCAAGATACATTTTATTCACACCACAATGAAATGAATTAAATTATATATTAAACATGAAAAGAACAGCAACCATGTGGATTAGCGTTTTTGCATTTGAAGATGTAACAGTGCCTTATGACCTCACTATAATTTGTGTGTTCCACCCATTGTCAAATGATCTAGTTTTCTCGGTGAGCAACAGTTTAATATTTCAGCCACAGAATGTTTAAAAAAAAAAATAGTACACAAATTAATCTTATCCCCTTAACCTTGATTATAGGAATGAGCGCCACAGCTGTGTACACCTTCATTATAAGTTTGTAAACTAGAGAAAAGTCTTTTGCCCCACGTCAGATAATAGGCCAATAAAGCAATAGTGGATGAATCCACCAGCTCTGTCATCTTCATATAGGCATTTTTGGTAGAGAAATGGATGGCTGTTAGTACAATGACAGCATGGTATGTGTGTGTCAAATAAGCGTGAGAGGTGAAAGGAACAAAAGGCCTTGTGCTGAGCAATAATGTTTTAATATATTTTTACTTTAAATATTAGTCCTTTGTTTTGGAGGAATGGACAATTTCCATAGTCATGAAGTCCAGGCTAAAGACGCCATCATAAAGGCTACAGTGGGCAGGATGGTTACAGAAAAGACACCCAGGGTGAAAAGATAATGAGACCAAAATTATTTTGGTCTGAATGAGCGCAAAAGGTTAGGAATATACAACAGAAAGGAACTCTCCAAGGGCTTGATGACAGGTGTACTGTGGGTAGAACAACATACACACAGTGCTCAGATTCTCCATTTAATCTCCAAGGATTTGTGTTTGTATTTCAATGTCGCCCCCTGGTGGGTATTTCCAGAACAGCTCTTGGGGTTACTTTCTTCTCTTGCCTCACACACAAAGCTTGCACACATTACCACACGCACAAGATTCAGGCTTATCTGGTGTAGTAGACTCTGTAGTACACACTCTTGGAGCGCCAGAGTGAATAAGAGTTGTCAAACTTGAGCAGGTATACTCCACGCCCTGGGTACTGATGACTGCCAGCATACACCTCCTCATGACAGTCCCTCCGATACACTGGCACTATCTCATCCACCTGGGGTTTCCCTGCATCTTTCTTTGCCTTTTCCTCCTCATTTGCATTCTCACCTGTGGACAAAGAAGGTCAATAGGAATTTGGTTCCACCCCTCCATTTTATACTTTCATTACGCAAATTAAAACAACTTCTGGTTAGGTTCATTTTTTCAATGCAATTAACATGTTTAATTAAAGATGCACAACTCACCTTCCTCGTCATCATCTTCATCACTGGACTCTGACACATGCACACTGACCGAAGCAGAGGCAGCATCCGTCCACTCAAAAAACACCCCAAAGCCAATGTCATAATAGTCCGTAGCAAACTCCCAGAACAGGTAAGATCCTTCTTCGTGAGTGGGAACACGCACCGTCACCACTTCTCCACGACCCACAGTGATCACGCTGTCCGCATCCTGACGAATCTTCTCCTTAAAATCTTTGATCTGTGGTCTCGTCCACATGGATGGGGCAGCTATGATTGGTGGAGAGTCTGCTGTTAGAAAAGAAATAAAATAGATAACATATAAAATATATATTGAAAAAAATAAGAGACCCCCACCTGCAATTGTTTATGGACATTCTGCATTATTGATTTCATACTTCACACAAAAATAGTGGTCAGCAATTTTTTTTTAATATCAATAGTGTAGGGCTATGGACTTTGACATGTACCGATAGAAATATTGGCTGACAATTTTTTATTTAAAGGAGTTTAAGAACTTGAGAATGTATGGTGTGAGTTAGCTGCTAATTTGTTCTATAATTTTTCAAATGTCAAATTGCTACACATTTTGCCAAATTTCATTGTTATGAAAGTCTTTGTTGTTTGTTTAGAATTTAAAAGTGGTAAATGCAGTTGACAAGCAATTGAAGGTCAATTGTTCCAGCTATTCTCTACTTTGTCTAAAGGTCTAATCAACAACAGAAATGAATCAGATTTCAGCAGTGAGCGATTGTGACAAGTTTACTCCAACATACAAAAATAATACTAATAAAACAAGAAAAATAAACAAAAAATAAATAAACAATACTGTGGTTTCCCCTACCTACTAGCGGACCATTTTCTGACACCTCTTCTGCCGGTTCAGGCTCAGGATCCCGGTCCATGCTTTCTGAATATGAGTCTGACTGGCCACCGTTGAGCGTGGGGACCTCCTCCACAGTAGGCGGTGACGTTGCACACAATGATCCTGCTGCTGAGGCTGCCACTGGTTCACCACTGTTAAAACTGTTTGCTTCTAGAGGAGCCTGCACTGAATCGGCCTGTTGATGCTGAAGCTGCTGCTGTTTCTGCAATGCTGCCTAAAATTAGACCAAATAGAGTAATATAAATATATCAGAAAATGTATATATTTATACAGATTTGTAGCAGTTTCAATTACACTGATGTGATATATCCATTTGATTATACAATAGGTTGTTTTCATGTGACATAGCAGTCTAAAATACCTGACCGTAAGATGTAACAAGTGGTATTTGAGGAGCCAAATTTGCAATCAAATCAAAATTTACAATTTGAATGGACTTGCAATTTTTGCAAGAAAGTAATATACTCAAACAACCAATCCTACCCTTCTGCAAAAAAACTGAAAAACAAAAAAATCTGTACAAATGTGTTATCTTCGTATTAGTCTTCTGGACACATTCAAAATATGAATTTTGAACAAGATCCTAAACATTAAATCACAAATCACAATTACATATTTTTCCAAAATTGTTTGTTTAGTCACCAGAACCTAATGGGGAGCACCATTTCTTTGGGAATGCAGCACTACCACTTCCAGCATTCAAGCATAAAAATACCTATAAATACCTGTTGCTGGGCCAGCTGGACCTGGTACAGCTGCTGCATGTACTGCTGATAGTGCTGCTCCTGAAGCTGTCTGATCAGGCTCATCTGTTGCTCTGGGCTGTTTGGATACTGTTGGGCAGCATACTGTTGAAACTGCACTGCGGTTTGAGCATTTAGTGCAGCCATAATCTGTTGTCTGAAAAAAATACACAAAAAAGATGATTAACTACCTAAAAAATCTCAATTGAAATGTTCAGACATATAAGATTACTTTTCCTCTGTGTTTACAAAAAGACTAGACTATATTCTGTACAGATTCTTACTTCTGCTGTTCTACTCGTAGCCTCTCCTCCTCAGCTTGTCGCCTCTCTTCCTCCTCTCTTCTGAGTCGCTCCTCCTCCTCTAGTCTTCGTCTCTCTTCCTCTTGCCTCCGTCTCTCCCGCTCCTCTTCCTCCTGGCGCTGGCGTTCCTCCTCTTCTTTCCTGTGATACAACAATTATTTTCATCAACTGTACAGTATAAATACTATATAAGTATCAGTAAAATTAAGCACATCCTCTTTTGTTTTAATCTGGAGTGGAAGTAATTTTTGAGTAATTTTTTAAAGAGTTTTATATTATTGATTTTTATTTAACCACTATAGCCCCACTGAGATTAAGAATCTCTTTTTCAGCATAGTCCTGGCCCAACAGGAGACCCTACTGTACATGTTTTAGCCGTAGGGGAAATCGGGGCACCCGCTTTACAGAACATACAAACTCCACATCGAAAGGCCTCGCACAGCCTCAGAATCGAACTCAGGACCTTCTTACTGAGAGGCAGGCCGAAAATACAATACAACAACAATAGTAATGTAAAATGCAAGACTACATTACAGCTCTTTCAACAACTCTTGTAAAAGCTCCAATTTTACAACTTCTGGTATTTAATAATTGGACTGTCATACCTTTTTCTCTCTTGTTCCTCCCGCTCAATCTTGTGAGAAATGACGTATGGCGCAAAGAGGTTACAGCATTTATTCAGCAACCTGACAAATTCCACCATTGCCTCCTCTTTTTCCATGTTGCCCAAAGAGGCCCATTCTTTTCTGTAGAAAAGGGAATCATTAATAATTGAATCACAATTCAAAAACATTGAATTTTATTAGAACTCAATACACGTTCATAGCAAGGAAATTGGCTATAGATTTGCAGTTACCTTCTGTCGTTCCCCAGGACATCAAAAAAACCAACCTCTGGGGTTGCATCAGGATTATAGGGACCCAACAACACCTGCTTATGGAGAGCAACAAGGCGGAGCTTCTCTTCATACGTTGGATGGAATGCTTTACCATCCTTATCTGAAAGCAACAAATTAGAAAAAAAAATTATAACAAGTACTTACTCTGGGAAACTTTTAACTGTAACTGTAGACATGCTTTTCCTTTAAACCAAATGAGGCTAACCTATACAACGACATGGACCCATTCTTTTGAACTGAGACTTGTGTATTGAGATCAGTCCTGTTGATCCTAATGGGCTAGGATACATAATGTACATTGCAGAGGAATCTATACAGACAGATGAATTTATCAAACAACTTTATTTTAGCTCTATACAACCCTATACTTTGTGACCCATGACCCACAATACTGCACATTTGTGTGTTTTATTATTTCAAATTATAATCTTCAACTATTCGGCAATATGTCAAAATACATTTGTGTGGTTCATTATTCATCATTTTAAAAATTAGTAAAGCTATGGATCCTTATTATTCTTCTGTGTCCTAAAATAATTTAAAACATTATTTTAGTAGCCTATATGTGGTCTATAAATAATAATAAAAAAGATTAACAACCTTATGAGAATACATTTAGTTGCACCACAACACAATTCCAATGACTTTAAATTGTGTTATTCAACTAGCCTATATAAATAAAACAGGGTGTCCCAAAAATGTTTAAATAATTTCGCAGGCCAATCACTCTGGCAATTTTTGGTGAAATAACCTAAAATTTTCACAGAATGTATAGAAACAGATTAAGATTTTATATTTAACGTTTTATTTTTGTTCTGTTTTCAAGTTGAGCCATGCCCAAAGAGAAGTCATTGTGCATCTTGGAATATGCTCGCTCAGAGTCACCCAAGAATGTGCAGCGTACCTTCAACAAAAAATTTGGAAAAACTTCACCAACTGGCAAACAAATTTGGAATTGGTACCAAAAATTTAAAGAGGAAGGCTGATTATGCAAGGCTAAAGGATGTGGTAGACCATCATCAACATCAGAAGAGAAGGTCGAACAAATTTGTGAATAACTCCCAAGGGCTTCGCAAGAGGAAGTTTGGAAACCCAGATTCCTTGAATGACAGTTTGGCATATCCTGAGAAAAATGATTGGAAATTGAACCCTACCGTCTGCAGCTCCTTCAGGCTTTAAAAGCAGATGACAAGCGAAAATGTCAGTGATGAAGCCACATTTCATATAAATGGAAAAGTCAAGAGGCACAATGTTCGCATTTTGGGCCTAGAAAATGAAATGATGTAAACATTTTCAGTCCCATAATAAACTTATGATGTTCAACACCTAAACTGTTCAATATCATTGAGTTAGACTTAGTAGTTTTCCAGATAATTGCTTTTAAAATGATGTCAATTTTTTTGAGACATTTTAAATGCCAGACCACAGGATATAGGGTCTATATGCTGTCCCTCAGAGAGAGAATATAGACAGTTCTAATTAGCAAGGCGGAGCTTCCCTTCATACGTTGAATGGGACGCTTTTCCACCTTATCTGAAAGCAACAAATTAGAAAAGTATTTTAAAAATTATACCAACTAGGGTGTTCACTACTTACTGTATCAAACAGACTCTGGGAAACTTTTATCTGAACTGTAGGAAGGGATAGTTTTCATTCAGAGATGGGCTGTTCTGCCCCATGGACATTATTATTATTACCCTACCCTAATATAATCCAAATGCAAAACTGTGGTGCAATCTCAATCTTGTATTTGAAATACCCGTCACAAGATTTATAAAGACAATCCCTGAACACAACAAGAAAACTGCATGAGCTTTAGTGAAACATTTTAAATATTAGATATTGTTTGCTAAATGTTTCGCTTTTTTACTCGTGTTTATAATTTGAATTTGGGACTTGCCTAACATCTTTGGCTATGTTGAAATGTAATGTTAGTTGCGTTTATGTGACAGGAGCAGCGCTGACGGTGACAGTTAGCAAGTAGCTAATGTTAGCTTATGTAGCAGGGTCTCATTCAAACATTATCACAAAATTAAATATAACAAATCCTAAAGGAATTGCGACATAAAAAACATGACAATGACCACGAGAGCGTACCTTTAAAAAATTTCAGAGCCATTCCGTACAGCTCCTGTAGAGGAAAGCCCCATTTCTTTTCTATCGCAGATTTGGCTGTCTCTCCATCTTCGTCTCCAGCGATGTCCGGTTCACTGTTTTCCAGTGGCGCGGGCCCGGGCTCCGGCTCTTCGGCCGGGCTCTGCTCACCCTCCGGATCGGGGCTGAGAGTGAGGCCATCGATAGAAACTTCGAGCCGGCTAGAAGTAGCACTATCGAGGTCGCCGCTCTGAACCTCTGTCGCCATCATGTACTGTCAGCTGAAGCAGCCACGTACCTACTTCCGCTGGGTTTACCGGAACATCCGGGAGGACGTAAAAGAGGCGAGGCGAACTGAGCAGTTCACACCAAAATAATGGAAAAGTTATGAAGTTTCTTTAGATGTTAGTCATAATAATAATAACAGTCATAATAATAATAACAGTCATAATAGCACAATGTAATGGACAGTATTAACCATGATTTTAATTTATTTTGTCTACAATTATATATTAAAAGTAGCAGTAGGAGTAGGCATGTCTGTGGTTATTGCATGTGTTCATAAGAACTTGTTTACAGGAGGATAAGAGGCTGTATTTGAATAGCCTCTGTTTAGAGCTCTGAGTGAAGTTATTTCAAAAGGTTAATGAGTGTGACAAGGTAGGATATTGTAAAAGTAAATAACCTACTATACTAAAATTTGCAGATGATGTGCAGTGGACCATTGAGCGTTTAATCAGTTGAACAAAAGACAATACATACTTTTAAAGGGAGGGTATGTATAGCTTGCACTCCTACTTATATGAAAGTAATGCACTCACTGAGCTGCAGAGCCTGCACTAGCACTGACTGGCTGCAGGTGCTGAGGTTTAAGTGTTCAGAAAGTCCTTAATTTAGGTACATTCACACATGTCCCTGTTGTAGCCCTGGTGTGAGCCCAGTATAATCCTGATGTAGAGCTGGTTTGGTAATGTTCTAGATCTGGTTTAGTCCTTGTCTAGTCCAGGATGTGCAAGTGTGAATTCATCCTTCATTTCCTGTAAGTTTTATTTGTAATTAAGCTTATAGGATAAATCTTTGAGAACTGAAACCAAGTGACAACACTAACCATTTGGCCATAAGGTGCAAGTCTTTCGTAATAATGAAAAAAGCAATATTTGATTTGAACACATGTACATTGTATCTGGGGACACAGATAAGTAATTTTACTTTTACTTTAGGTAGAAAAGATGTATTGTGTATGAGTGTACATACTTTAAACATAACAATGTAAATTTAGTTGTCAATGAAATTATCTGAAACTCCTCATTATGTCAAAATAAACAGATGACTACTATTCTGTCATGCTATATCTAGTTCTAATACACAAATCATTTAAACTATAAAATAGCTGTGATTTTAACATATCACTGTAAATTTTACAGTAAAAGTAAGTTGACTTGTCTGGCTGGATGTTAGATGTATAGTGATTGAACTTTGGTAGTGGTGGCCCTTTAAAGGTGTTAATGTTTGTGTCTACAAAGACAAAGGCACTGGAGATGGGCACCGCTAATCCCCAAGTCATTTTGCTGTTTGAAGTGTTGCCTTATAAAATCTTTATCAGTCAACTTTGAACTCTGCAGGCTTGTTTTTGAGGTAAGCCTCTGAGATGATGGTAAGATGGTAAGGATATCAGAACATTTGATTGTGAAAGTTGTACAAGTACAGCAAGGTACAGTTTATTCAATGAAAAATCCTCAGACCTTAAACCTGTGAATTTTCAACACTCAACCAACACAAAGTAAAAAAAAATAATATATTGTAAAATTTGACAATAAAACACAGTGTAAGTAAGTAAAATGCACACTTATTACTTTTTATAAAACTATTAAACATATTATATAGACAACACAGAAATAAGCAAGTAAACTGAAACAATGAAATTGTTTTTGTCTTCATTTATACACAAATATTTCTTTTCAGAATGGATTAGGATGTCTGTCTGCTCAACAGCCTGACCTTTTGACAGGCTTTTCCTTTGAACCAAATGAGGCTAACCTACGCAACAACATGGGCCCATTCTTTTGAACTGAGACTTGTGTATTGGGATCAGTCCTGTTGCCACTAATGGGTCAGGATGCATAATATACACTGTAGAGTAATCTATACAGACAGGTGAATTTATCAAACAACTTTATTTTAGCTCTGTACAACCCTATACATTCTATGTAACCCACAATACTGTACATTTGTGTGTTTTATTATCTCTAATTATTATCTCCAACTATTTGGCAATATGTCAAAATACATTTGTGTGGTTTATTTTGTCATCATTTTTAAAATTTGTAAAATAAAGCTATGGATCATTTTTTTATTATTATTCTGTGTCATAAGATTATTTAAAAGTTAATTTAGTAGCCTATATGTGGCCTATAAATAACAATAAAGATAAAGGTTAATAATCTTTTGAGAATACATTTAGTTGCACAACACAATTCCACTGACTTTAAATTGTGTCAGTTCTCTATAGCATATAGAGAATACTAATTAGCAGCATATAATTTCATCAAATAAATGTGGTGCACTGACACAGACACAGACAGGCAAGGCTAGAGACATCACACACTAAAAATGCAGTGAGTTGCAGCTATTTTACTTGATTTGTCTATTTCAAATTGAATATGGTGAGATTGCTTCAAGCATTCCAAATGACTAATATAGACTTTCAGAAGCTCCTGTAAAACATTTTGAGCTGAATAATTGCCTACTATTGAAAAATGTAAGAAAACAGCCCAAGTTCTGGTGATTTAAGGAAGCGGCAGTGGGTTATGTGTCTTCCACTTTGAAGGCTTCACTTCGACCCATTATTGCCTCGTCTATCCCAAAGCAGCTAATTGTTTTCTCTGTTCTTGTGTATTGCGCACGCAGATTCCATTAAAACCTTTAAGAGGGTCGTGCAGCCCCTACACCGTCCAGGTGTAATCGCTTCACACCTTGCGGCCTGCAGACGTCTGAAGTTGTGGGCCGATGCAGTGCCAGTCGAGGCTGATGGCTCAACCATTCACACATCCCCGGCCCCATCATCTTTGATCTCCGGGTATAAAAGTAGCACCAGTTCTCATGCTCTTTATTCAGTCACTGGGAATTAGAGCAACGGCATCATGTCTGCAGTCCACGGTAATCTACGAGTTGGAGATCTGAACACCTTTCAGATGTATCACGAAGGGCCACTGACGTTGAACGCTTTGGTAACCTCAGGTTAGTAGCCTAATTAATTTAGTAGACTATTTAATATTGGGCACGAGTATCCACCATGCGTAATTTACGCGTCGTGAAATCTAACGGTTCACTGTATTTCACAGATTATGGAGCACCTGATGCTGCAAACTTTTTCAACAATACAGAATCGGTACCAAGGACAGATAAGTGCGTGGCAATCCTGACGCATAGGAGGAAAAGAACAAACTTTACACCGCAACAAATTGAAGTGTTGGAGAAAGTGTACTCGGACACCAAATATCCTGACATCTACCTCCGAGAGCGACTTGAGGCTTTGACGGGCCTGCCAGAGTCCAGAATCCAGGTAAGTTATAGCAACACAAAAGCTGCCTACTGTAATAGCATACTATGCACGCAGGCTTGGAGCAAGGTCTCATTGAATTATGCTGAATTTTGTAGGTTTGGTTCCAAAACAGAAGAGCAAAGTCTCGTCGTCAAGTTGGATCTTCGGTGTCCACTAACAAAGCCACTCCCACAGCAAGCCATTTCAGCCAAATTCCTGAAGGTTATTATCATTCAATCTGTTCATATGGCATCTTATTGTTCATAACTGAATTTACAGCATCTAAGTAGGGGACATTTTAATTGAAATATATTATTTGTCTTACAGTTAGTAGTCACAATGCTGAGCAACACAGGACAGGCTTTGGCCTTGATGAAAATTTCAGACCTAAAATGTTCCAGAAGTCAGAGGACACCCACATGGCAACTCTACCCACCAAAACTAACACCTATGAGAACCCACCCACATCTTGTCTATATGACAAAGATGCCAACAGGCTGAAGCAAGAGCAGATGCCAAGACCTGAGCTCAGTGTCAATGTGCCATGTTACAGCGTCCACCTTTACCTCAAAGGAAACCAGACTCCACCTAAAACCAGCATGACAAACACCACCCAGGCCAGGCAACTAGTGGACTATGACAACTTTCCACCGAATAAGACCATTGGGCCAGAGATGAAGGTTGTAATCCCATCCATTCCAATGCAGAACAACTTCAGCAGGTCGCCACCAAAGGACACTGGATGTTCCCTGCAGTATTCTCAAATCAGACCCAGTGGAATCAATCATTTTTCCCCTGTCCATCCTACTGAGGGCAAGGACTTTTCTGACTCGGATTCAGATTGGGAAAATGAGGCCATCATTGGCTTTAGTGGCTTTATGTGATGTACAGTTCAATTGTAAATATCTCCACAGCATGGCTGTATAAAGAAACATGTATTATACTGCCAAGCTTGTATGCAGATATCGAGCCTATATTTATTGTCAATAATTTTTTCCACAAATTCTCAATTGTAAATTGTAAATAAAGATTCATAAGTAAAAACATAACTTTGGAATAACTGTTTAATATAAAAGAAAAGAAAACATATATACATGTACAGAAAAGCACCCACCTCTGGGAGAACCATTGAATTTGCAACAATAGCCATGCCAATGTGGTAATGCTAACAGGTATTAAGTTCCAAAGCCTTTTATAAAAAATATCAAATCTCTTTTCAGTGCACACAAAATTACAAAACACATCTAAGTACAGAACAGATATGTCGACAAAAGCTCTAATAATCAAATATTTTACAATTATCTACAATTGTACAAAATATACTTTAGCCTCCACTCCTAAATTTAGCAGAGTAACAAGAAGGAACTGTATGTAGTGATAGCAAAATACTGCCCCACAAAGTCACACACACACCTGCTCAAATAAATAAATATGGACTATAAAAATATAAGACTTAATGCTTGGCACATATAACCACTGCAGTCAGTCATGTGCGAAACATTGCATTGAAATAGGTGGGCACTTTGACCGTTTCTGTCGGCACAAAACAGAAAACGTCATTTTGATAACCCACATTTGATTTTTAAGTTGTCCCCTAGGCTTTTGTTTGTGGTCTTCAGACAGTTCAGATGAAAAGCACCCATTCCAAAGATGTTACCACATAAAACCACACCTCTATGAGGTGACAACGATGCTGCCTTCACACTGCATTAGTGTTGTTTGCAGCAAATGCATGTAGATTGCCCAGTTGACTAAGGCCACTCTGGATGTGAGCCACGTGGATCTCAACGTTATTCTGGAAGCAACTAGAAAATATGGGAACATCTGAAGTTTTCACATTAAACCAAACACTTAAAAAAAAAAATATATAATAATATATATATATATATATATATAATTATATTTAATTAATCAGAACATCCTCACATACCTTAGGTTAGAGGGATCAATAGACGCCTTGATGTCATTGAGTGAGTCGGTTAGAGATTTGAACTCAAATGCGTTTAGGTCCCCACCATCTGCCAGACACTAAAACATACACATGTATTATTTTTCATTTAAATATCAATATTTAAATCAAACAGATGCTTCAAATGGAATGAACAATACCTTGATCTGAAGGAGGAGCGCTGTGAGTCGTGAGATGAGTTGTGTGAGGCTAGGGTTGGATACACTCTGCTGTCCATCCTGTAGTGAGTTACCAAGCAGCACCATCTGCTGGGCCTCCTCTTCACAGCGTCGCCGCAACTCTGTGGGATGATCGGCAGGGACCAAGCCCTGGTCTGGAGCGAGCTGAGGAGAAAACAGTTTGAGAAACCTGGACAGTATGATGTGATTTTTCATAGCTGGAACCTGTTTCACCTCACAACAGAACTGCTGTACTTCTTGCAACACTTTGTTCAAGTCTTTATTCAGTTGTTCAAGCTCGAGCACTGTTGTAGCATAACGCTTCTGGAATTCCAGGTCAATGGGCATCGAATAGGACTTCTACAAAGACAAATAATGAACTAATTTCACTGGTTCACTTGTACAGGACAACTATGACATCATAAGGCAGTGAAAACTGTACCAGTTTCTCAGCTTCTGTGTTCATTTCTTTTAAGTGCTTAATGTGCTCCTTTTTAATCATGAGGATCTTGGAAAGTCTTGTCTGTCAAAAATATATGAAATTGTTTTACAAACTGACACCCCCCCCAAAATACTAGATCAAAATATTTACCACTTGGACCAAAAACTTGACAGGAAACCCTCCCAATGTCTCCCCTTCAGCACCTGAGAGTTTGCTTTTCCACGGGGACTGATTGATAAGGGGATCATTGTCCTTTCAAAAAACAAAACAAAAAAAAAGTATTACTAGATAACAAATACAGTATACTGTAGATGGTAAGCAAAAACTTGTTTTTATTTACCATAAGGACAGGAGTGGTAGCAGATGGATACGGGCCTCTAGGGGGGAGTCATTATATTGTGAAAGTAGCGATTTGACCTATGCTTTTGTGCAAATGCTGAAATTGGCATGGTCTCAGTGGGTTCATTGCTCTGAAAAGCATAATTATTCAGCACTTATATGATACAATAAAATCTGAGATTTTGAAACTAATATAGGGTTTTACATTAAAAGGTTTATGAAGACAGGACTGTTTACCAGAACTTCGTAGTCAGGCACAGTGTGAGTTCCCAGGCCACTGCGGTCAAAGGTAACGCGATACGTAGCAGCACTTGTGTCTACTGCATCAATCTGCCCCGTGAACAACCCATCATGGAGCCCTCTTAAGCGAGCTGTTTAACATGAACATTTAAGAAGCATTAAATACAAAATCTAATTGTTTTTAACAAACATTGTTATGGAGGGAAAAAAGCATGTAAAGACAATACCTGTGACTTTGGTTCCAATAATAAGTGGCATGGGGATTTCATCTGGAAGATCTTTGCAGTTTGATATATCAGTCAGTTTGCTCTGCTGTAGCAATCGTATCTTTTGCCTCTTCTGCCTCAAAGCAGTCCTCTCTTCAGCAAAAAATGCAGAGGAACACCTAAATTAAAGAACAACTATTAATTCAGTCACATCCTACATAATTATAAGTTCACAACTCAAGGTAAATGTACCGGCGAGGTTTTCCCATCAGTCTTCTGATTGTTCCCCATTCTACCCTGCTTAGCTTTCTTGTTTTTAGATTAGGGAAGGACTCTTTGAGACAAAGACAAAATTCATTGTCACCTTCAAAGAGAGGTCTGAAAAACAAAAACAAGAAACAAAAGTTTTGTTTTTACTATTTTAAACATCTGCATCCTATATTGATGAGAAACTATTGTAACACAAGTCATACCTGTCAATATTGGAATAAAACCATTCATAGATGCACCATTTGTGAGCTTTGGGCAGTTTAAGGAGATTTCTTAATCTTAGCCCAATTTTCTGTGATGTTTTCTTGTCTGGTGTCATCACATTTGAAAACTTCTGTAAATCCAACGTCAAAAGTATTCATGTGACATGAATTGCAAATAAAGGAACCGCCTTGATACATAGGATGTAAAATGTATTTCTAACTGCAATAGTCTTTACCTGAGGCGTGGTGGAAACTCTCTGGCTTCTACGAGGAGATCGAGAAGGAAGACGATGCTGTTCCTCTTCATCTCGAAACAAACGGCTTCTTTTTGAGCTTCGGGTTGGCTGCAAGTATAGTTAGGAGAAATAAAATCTAAATGAATAGCATTTTTATATATAAATACATTGAATTGAATTATTTGCATCATGCCCTCAACCCTCTTTCCCCTGTTGCTACTTCTGTCAAATTACAAACTGGAGTACCTCACCTGTCTGTAATATGTGGTAATTTTTGACAGTTAATGTGTAATGAGGCAATACAAAGTCTGAAGCAAGTTCATTTAGAGAACATTCAAATCAAATGCTGCCTACCGTGTCCATTGTGAGAGTTGACTGACGTCCCCTGGTGTTGTGAGCTCTCTGCAAGCTGTTCTTTTCATTCAAAGAGTTGGACAAACTACCCTCTGCAAGACAACAACAAAAGTGTTTTATTGTGGTTAGCAAATAGTTTAAAAAGGTGCAACTATAACAGTAAACTGTGCATAACGCTACATGTAAAGCTAAACAAGTGTAACAGCTACTGTGCAACTACAGTAACACACACTGAACCATACTTATAACTGACTAACACAACCTTTAGACTGACAAGAGCCTCACACTGAGGAGTTAGGAATACACACGGCCTGGTTTATGTGGTCATTAAAAAGAAAACACAAATGGACGCTCAGACAAATTAAGACTGGTAATACTTTAAAATCATTTAATCATTTTCATCAGTGAAGTGTCAGGGTGGTGACATTCTTTAACACATGGGCTGAAAACAAACAATGAATAGACCAGGGACGAGTACACCTGAATGAGGAGGGATGCATTCACTAAATGTACACAGTGCGTTAACTGTTAGCTTAATTAACTGCATTCATTTAGCAGTAGCCGACGCACATAACTGTCATAAATATAGCATAACAAGAGATTACTACACAATAAAGGCGCAATGTAATAATAATTGTAGTTTAAGTTTAGCAAGTATATAGGTTAAGCAAACATAAAATCGACAGGTTAGCACATAGCTAAGCTATGCTACAGCATTTGTTTACCATAAAGCCTGAAGTATAACCATTAGCTTTCGTTAGCCTTCTGCTAACAAGCGTTAGCCTACTTGGACAAACCGGTGCGTCTTTGCAAGTGAAAAATAGGTTGTAATCACCACCTGAAAGCAGTGGTACCTCCAGGGCGGCAGAGTAAATTAATTTATAATAGTGTGTAGTTTGGTAGCCTCATGGGTGTAGCAGGTTTGCGTTGTGAAACTCTTTGAATTAGTATTTTTACTCACTCTCGTCTAACAGCTGGTCCATCTCCGCCATCTTGAATCAGCCGCGCCGCTTTTTCAAAGACTTTGTCAAAATGCATTCTGGGTCGGGACGCGTTCTGGAGGGCGATTTGAGAGAAACACTAAAACACAACTCTCCAAACTCAATTATGTTATTGATGTCCTTACTTAGTTCACATTGTCCAGGCATACTAGATAATTGAACCAAACGGTTGTTTAGTTTGTCACGGCGAGATGCCCAGCCTCACCGACCTTTGAACATGTTACCATAGGCCTACTTGGAAGCGACAGCTACTCTGCAATGTTTTACATTAATTCAGTTTCCAAGTTACATCTTTACACCTTCTAGAAAAAATTGTCAACAAGTTCGAGCCACGTGACAACTTCGGAACCTTACCTGTCGTGCCCAGACTTAAACTAGGTCTACTTTAATGTATAAGAACTGTATAGGCAAAAATTCACCAAAGAGAACACAAACAATGTTTACTTTCATAACAATTTCTTTATTTTGGATGGATGAGGTTTAGATCAGGCTAACTGTTAAAATGAACATTGCTAACAGCTATATGTGAACTTATTTAAGAGACTAAATACATTTTCTGAGACCACTGTAACACAGTGCAGTGCTACATTTATTCTAACATGTTGGAGATCCAAAAGTGGTTTGCGGTCTGAACACTGACAAAGAAAATCTGAATATGGTCTTCTCACCACAGAGATGTTTGGTAGTTAAACTTAATCTTGAGCAGATACTTCAGATTTACTTGTGCTACATCATAAACAATGTATCTGGAGGGGAAATGGTTCAGGAAAATACATTTATATTCAAACATATTTGCACGTACTTGTGCATTCATACTCATACAATACTCTATGTATTGTAATATAAACTACGCAAACATAATGGCCAATGTGATAACAATCCAAATCTAAATAACATTTATTTATTGTGAAAGGATACTCATTGTAGAGCAGACTTGTATCCTCGATGTTTGTATTGGCACCTTTTCCCAAAGGTACTTGTACTCCCTCTAATGAGACTGTAGCATTTGGATCTGGAGCAGTTCTACCCATACCTGGTGGAAAAACAGAAAAACAAACAGAGCTGTAAGTTATTCTAAATAACATTAAAATGCTTTATAAAAATATTTATTTAACACTTCATTTACCTTTAACACTGTGTTTTCCCTTTGGCAGTTTTGTAATGTGAGCAGCCTTTTTCAGTTCATGCCTGCAATAATGAATTACATCCATTATATACTATGATCATTGACAAAAAGTTATTTTTATGTTTTAAATAGTTTTAAGTACTGACATGTTTCCAAGGGCAACTTCAGCCAAGAGCAAAAGACCTACAGGGTCAGACTGTGATGTGTGACAGTAGTTGGCACTTTTAGAGACCATGTCGGCAAAGTACACACCCTTGCCGAACATGTAACCAGTCTGAAAATCAGACAGAAAGAATGATAACAGATAAAACTATAGAAAATGAATATAAAACATCAGAGAAACAAATCACTTACCACGGGGGCTTCTGGTGGAGCAATACGCAGACCCTGAGACAAGATGCCTGCATAATTAGTGGTACGTGAACCGTGCCATAGGAGCTGTCGATTATGTAGCTCCTCAAATGGCCGATAGCGCTGGTGTTCACCCTCTCGGTTGATTTTGAAGATCTAAAAAAGAACAGCATTTTCGTGATTAAACTCAAACTTTGGTGCATCCATTGTTATTTATACAACTTTGGCTTTTTCACACTTACTTCTTCCACCTCCAGTGTGTAAGTATTGTGAGTAGCAGCATGTGTGTTCTTGACATATTGCATAATTATATCTGCCTCTTGTGTAGCTTTGTCAACAACCTAAACAACAGATAATACATTGACCTTTCATTTGTTCTTCTGATTAAATCTAGTTAATAGCAAAGCATACCTCAATCTTTGTTTTAAGTTTTTCATAGTTAATATCAATGGGATCACTGTCATTATCCTGTGCGCCTCCTCTCAGCAAACTGTATGCAACTTCAATATCCAACAGATTATCCAACATCTGTACTTTAGCCTGAAGGTAACAATGATCATAATGATCAGAAACATTTTTGCATGCATTTTCCCAATGAAGAAAATAATACAAATAACATCTACCTGAATGTAATCAAGGTTGTTGAGAAGGGGAGGCTTTTTCATTCCAAAGTCATGAGGTATTAGTGTGTAGAAGCGATTGGACAAGTCCAATATCTGAGACTCAGGAACAGCATCTGTTACAGCCTGGGGGGGGGAAAAAAAATCTAAATATTGTCATTATTATGAAAAATCTGAATAACATTGACAGACCTGTTGTACTTCTGTAAGGAGGGCATAAGCACTCTGAATCTGCCTCTTACTCAGCTTTCCAAGGGGCATCTTTTGGAGATCGATCTGTGAAGAATAAAAAAAGAAACTTTGTTAGCTTAATGTTTCTCACAAATAATATACCACATGTATTTTTTTTTGTCACCTCAAATTCCACCATGGCCTTCTTCATGCTCTCAACATCAAAAATCATCTTGATCAAGTCCTGAACAGGTTTGGCTAGTTTCGATTTAGCGCCAGCAGTAGCAGTCAGCCTCTTGACAGCTTCCTCATCCTAAAAAGTAAAACAAATATTTTTTAAAACTCTGAAAAAATATTGTCAGTTTTACAAAAGTTGTATTGTTATTTTATATACCTGTCCATAATCAATCTCCAGTGGGTAGAACTTGTTGGGATACTTTGTAAAATTTGAGCAACTCCAGTCATTGCCAGTCTTTTCCTTGTACACAACCAGGAAATTGTCCAATGCAGAGTTCTTGTCATGGAACTTGTCAAGCTTGTTCCCTCCAATAGTGGTTCCAACTCTGCCCCATGACCTGAAGACCCAGTACCTGAAAGTAGAAATCGTCAAACGTATATAAATGTCCGGCAAACATACAATTTCTTTGCATTTAAAAAAAGAATGACCATGCACTGCTAACCGTTTTTGTACATCATCCTCAAGCAGCTGAAGTTTGTAATAGGAGTTCATCCCTTTGACAATGTCCACAAGTCCTAACGTTGCACTGTACATTTTCCCACCCTGTTCCAGGACATGGGCACTGTTCTCTAAACCTGAGTCTGGATCTACAGCTGCTCCTCCTTTCACAGTAAGTTTCATCTTTTTCGATTTGTGTCCACCTGAAATAAAGTAATAGATTAATGCTTGATTAAGATATCAGCAATCAATTTTAACTGTCTGTACTTGTTATACCTTCCTCCTCCTTTATTCGTCCAGTGCTCTTGGTAGCCACAGCCCCTGACTTGGAAACTGCTCCAGCCTTGTTTTCCACCTTGACCTCTGCGCCCCAGGTTGAAATGGCGTGGAGGGAGACTAACTCTTGGAGGGCTTTCCCAGATGACTTGATGTCTGTCAGAAAGTCTTCAGCCACTACACGCACACCAACATCTCTCACCTCCTCCATCTTTTTGCTCATCTTTTCCACTTCCTCTACACAACATTAGATTTATACAAAATCGTTAATTATGTTAACTAGGGGTGTCAAATTATCGCGTTAATTGCGATTAATTAATTACAGTCATATTTAGCGCGTTATGTTTTTTAATCGCGTTAATCTCATTTTTAATCTCTAACTTTACTGTTTCTGTATGCGAGTTGCTTTATTATAAAATCTGTTTAATATGTTGTTGGGACAACAACACACACACACAAAAACACATTTATAATTTTTTTTATTTCGGTAATTCCACTCATTGCCGGAAACCCACACAAAACGCGCGCAGTAAGAGCGATGTAAACGTCATGTTAACGTTGACGGCGTCAGTCGCTCAATGGACGAGGTTGAAGAGCCAGTAGAACAGAGTCAGCAGTGCACAGGTAAAAACACATTCGTGTCTTGGAAATTATTCTCCCGACGTAAAATATAAAAGAAAATAACAAATATAATATCGCCTACAACTTAAATGTCACTGGTGAAAACAACCTGCATAGGCTCATGATGTCTGCACTACTGTCCTATACACAAACACACACAAACACATACAAACACATACAAACACACACAAACAAACACACACAAACACACACAAATAAACACAAACACACACCTTCATCATCATCATTAACCTGAGAACGCGCGGACCACGTTTCCTTCCGTAGACACTGCGCGGACACCGACGTGCTCCCGTGAGCCGCGTGTGGATCGTGTTTTCTTCGCGTACGCTGCGTAAACCGCGCTTCCTCCTGTGCGCCTCTAATCCAGAACTAACATCAAGACTAAAACCAGGACTAATCCAGGTCTAAACCAGG